TTATCTCAAAACCTTTCGAAGTACCCAAGGGAGGGTACCATACACTGTTGATCGACCCCTCGTAGTCAGATGAACACCGAAGTGAAACACACTACAAGATACTCTAGAAGACGACATCCGACCGAAGCATACTCCGTATAATTTCCCCGAGAGACCCTTCGCACCTCGCACATTAGGTTTCGTGAACCTAGAGAATAGAACTCATGAGACTGACCGCTATAATCAGGTATATGCATAAGGGCGGCATATAATTGAGATCAAAAAGATTAAAGGTGTGTGTTTCCTCCCTATTCCCTGTTCCTCGTTAGGTTGTGGGTTTGGGGTGGAGTCGCACAGCTGAACGTCCCGCCGACCTCAACTGTATACTGCTCGCATACACGCGGTATTTGCGGTTAGGCTTAGTATGAGCTCTACCACGGACCTCTTAGCAAAACACCTTCACCATATTCCATAACATAGGAGCCGAAGTCAAGAAAATCACTACGGGTTGAACTCTTAAAAGTTCCGAGTGAGAAGACTCTATACTCACTAGATTTAACCTAGACCGAGAAAACCCAGAATCTCCGGATGAGTAGTTGCAGTATATGCCCGCACTACTCCGGCACTTCGTCCACCTCGTTATAGACAAGTGGTGCCTATCATCCTCTACCCTATTGCATGGAGGAAATCGTCGTCGCCCTGTAGACGATGGAATACATTCTCCGAAGAGGACACTAGAATGCCGAGAACCACAGGATAACCTTCGTAGCCAAGAATACTTGGTAAAGTGCGAACATAGTTGCGTTAAGCCTTGTGACCCTGATCCCAAAGAGATCATAGACTTGACACCAGCCCTGGTGTTAGTCGAAGGGTTATGCAAGAGCACACACTTTCCACGCTAGAATAAACCACAGTCTTGGAGATTCATTGGACTGTTAGGTGTTCCACGAATACTATCTCACGCAGAGATAGTAGAACCACCTCCCGAGATAGTCCAACGTTCATCTAGTGAAACCCTAACTCCTCGACCCTCAGGGTTTCCGTATCTCAAGCTTCGTTAGTGCAGGTTCACTTTGCACAAGCGCGAGATAGACACTCTATAGCAAACCAATAACCATAGTCACGCAACCCACTCGACGATCTAGAAAGTCTCTATCAGCCAGTTGAAAGAAAACACAAAACCGAAGACCACCTGAGCTTCCTAAGGATTAACCTGAAGGACTACATCCAGTACAAGCGAGAATGTTAGGAACTTCGTAATGGCGATCACGCCAGTGTTGATCTTGCCATAGAAGTACACTATGTTCTTAGTACTGAAAAGCTCTACTCCTTTCCGAGAGCTTAGGACCATCCGAGAATCCTCATGGAGACATGGTCCGACCCTTTTCAGGCCGCTACTACTTTCGGATATACCACAAGGTTCACATTCGATCGACTCACTTCTTAGACTTGATACGTGAATTCCCGACAACACTTTTCGTACCTCACTCATCTTGATAGAATCCACCGAGAACCCTAACCTTGTAGATACACCAGTTGGAACCCACTAGCTACACGAGACGGAACCCGCATCACTTGGGGATGCAAGGACAATCACATAGGAAGTACTCTCTTACCTCTACTTGGCCATCCATACCTACTTCCTTGCCTAGATCTGAATTTCGGGACGAAATTCCCTCTAACAGGGGGATGATGTGACAACCCAAGTTGTCCCGTTACATTTCTCCGTTACCGTTAACGAAATTTTCCACTGTTCAAAAGTTCCGTTAATAAGAAGCCGTCAAATTTAATAAACATTTCAATTGTGTATGTTTACCTGTCGTTAAGTCGTGAAAAAGGAAATAAAACACAGGACACACATTGCATTTGGAAAATGTCAAGTTTTATTATTACGACCACTAAATCGGGTGCGACCTAAAGCCCCGTTTAACGGCAGTATCGGGTAGAATTTCACTGTGCCCCGACTCAAAACCCTATATAAGGGTGAGTGGAGTCTATTGGAGACTTTTTACACTCTCTCTCTATACTCTCTCTCTAGACCCGTTTTCGCCCCGAATCCGCAACCAAACGCTTCCGAATTGTAAGTCCGCTTACCCTAGCTTATTCTAAACATAGTGATTTATGTTTATAGCCCAAAAATCATCCAAGAAGGCATGGAATAAGGAGTTTACGACCCAGGAACACTCTAGGGCCGTAAACCCCTAAAATGGTGCCAAACATGCCTCTAAACTTGTCCATAAGCTTGGGAATAATTAGGGGATATAGCCTAGGGGTGTTTAAACACTAAAATGCATGGATTTAGGACTCAAAGAAGAGTTTACGGCCCAAGCACATGCTTAGGCCGTAAACTCCCCAAGTCATGGTCCCAAATGCACTCCAAACTCATCCTAGGGCTTATTACATAACTTAGGGACTTATCCTCTTGAGTTTAGACACTTGAAACACTCCAAAATGATTTAAAGAAAGGATTTTACGGCCCAGACAAAGGTCAAGGCCGTAAACACCCTAAATCATGCCCAAAAGTTAGTTTTTGTCCCCCAAATGACCATAGGCTATCTCTATAAAATGTTAGGAAGGATCTAAGGGCTTAAACACAAGGAAAATGAGGGATTTCTTGGAGTTTACGGCCCAAGCATTTATCTAGGCCGTAAACTCCCCAAAACCCCCTCAAATGTTGGTTTTAATCACCCAAAATAGCATCAAACTTCATAAGAAAATTCTAGGAAGGCAATAGGGGCTTAAAACTTCACTAAACTCAAAGGTTGAGAGTTTACGGCCGTAAACTCCCTTGGGAGAGTTCCTAGGCTGTAAACTCTTGTTTAGTACCCTTAGAGGCCTCAAACCCACACATACCTTTTAGGAAAAGTGCTTGGAATAATTATATGAACAAGTTAGAAGCATCAAACACCCAAGAAATTGACCTTGGGAGTTTACGGCCGTAAACTCCCTTAGGTTGGGCCGTAAACTCCTTGTTTGGTCCATGTTGGTGTTTTAAATCCATTTACACACTTGATATGTGAGTATAGCAAAGTCCCACAACTGATAAGAGACCCTTAGCACCCGTAAACGCTACCCGGGACCCCAAACACTCAACCAAAAGTGTTTTCCACTCCTTTGAGTGTGTATAATTGTTTAATTAGTATATTATATGCTAATTGTATGTGAACATATGTTATCATATGTTAAAATAGGTCTTTGTGTGCGTTCAAGTCCTTGCGTGACCCCGAACGCCCAATCGGCACTTTCGTCGGACCTACTTACACCAGGTGAGTTCATACCCCTGAATGAACCTTTTAAATGCTTTTAAATGTTTTATAGGGGGGGATACAAGTTAAACATGCCAGTTATCATGTCAATCGCATATGATTGATAACCCGCATGCACAAGATTTTACCACTTTTACACTGTTTTACCGAGTAGGACACTAAAATGACTTTTACCTGTTTCATAACTTTTACTTATACTGATTTATTCAAATTAATCCTAAATTGGTTTATGAAAGATCCTCTAAGGTTTTAAACGTATTTTACAAAGGAATACAATTTGTGATTTTCTCTGTACATAAAGGCTTTTCATTAAAGATTTCCCTTTTTGACTTATACTTTTACTTGTTAAACACTGCTGCTTCACTTATACTTATTTTATACTCTGACTCGGTAACACTTTCACTTATACCTATAGTCGCTTATACTTGATGACGCTTATACTTATTCACGCTCTTACTTAGTGATACGGTTTCTCCTTCACTTATACTGGCTAACGACTTTA